ATACGAAAGACGTTCAGATCGAGGAAGACGTTAGTTTCGAGGCATTGATTACCAATCGTCAACTGTTACGAGGCGTTTTAGAAGCCGGATATGAAAGTCCTTCGCCTATACAACTAAAGGCAATTCCACCAGGTGTTTTGAGCATGGTTACTTTCGAGATAATCATTTTGTTGCTGATGTATTCAAGCTTATGGAGTTTTTTCTCAACAGAAACTCTAAATGAGTAGGTAAGCTGGGCCTCGACGTTATAGCGCAGGCCAAGTCTGGAACGGGCAAGACCATTGCATTCGGTATAGTGGCTTTAGAAATGATTGATCTGAATGATCCTCTACCTCAGGTACATGATTTTATCGCATCGCGTCCATATATAAATAGTAAATGCTTTTTTTCAGTCAACGTTGGTTTGATAGCGTGTTTATGGCAATTAAGCATACATCAATTGTTTAGGTGCTTATAATTGCTCCAACAAGAGAAATTGCCGTACAGACCCAGGATGTCATTTTATCTATCGGACGATTTATGAAAAAGCTCAAGTGTCATGTATTCATTGGTGGATTTTCGGTCGAGGATGATTGGAAAAAGTTGGAGAGATGCCAAATTGTTGTCGGAACACCCGGTAAGAATACGAGTCTATTACTGAAACGTATCAATCATGTTTCTGATAAACGCGCGCGTAATTGATTCAGGCCGTCTGGAATTTCTGCTGAGTCAAAAAAAAATGCCAATAAAGAGTCTGAGACTGGTTGTATTAGATGAAATTGATAAACTGTTGGATCATAACTTTAGACCTGTGATAAGGTAAAACACGCTCTACTTGCGAGAATGACACATACAGTCGTATGCATGCTCACCGTAATGAATGTGTTTTAGGAAAATATTCACAAAGCTTCCGTCCAAGAAACAAGTAATGGTATTCTCTGCAACGTACGAAGAGCATTTATTAAAACAGCTCCACAATTATACGTACGAACCACACCACGTCATGCTTGCAGTGAACACACCGTCGCTTGAAGGTGTCACACAATACTACCAAGTAGTGTCGCCGCCTTCAGATGACAACTGGGTTGGAAAATACAAATTTTATGAAGAAAAGTTTAAGAAGCTCGCCGATTTATTGTCGCAGGTTCCATTCTACCAGTGTATAGTATTCATCAACCATCGCGGAAGGTAAAGAGCAAACCCAACTATAGTATCGATGATATCATAAATTCCTTTAAAAGAGCTTGTTTTTGATACGGTTATTTCTTCATTTTAACGAAAAGAGCTGCAGACTTGGCAAACTATTTGACAAAGAATGGTTGGACGGCAATGAATATATCAGGTACAGGATATAATCGTCTCTATCTACCATGAATGCGTTAGTTTGTTAAGGATGAAACTCACAAATATTATGTATACGAACTATGATGCAGGCGGTCTTGATCAGAAGGCAAGGTTGAAAACAATGTCCAAAGCACGCAATTTTCAATTGCGTGTTCTTGTCTGTAGTGACCTGGTATGACGGGGCTTGATTTACTTGTTGCATGCCGTTGCGATATCTTACTCCGTCTAACCGAGCAATACTCTTATCAATAGATTGCAAGAGGAATAGACATAGAGAGAGTGAATCTGGTTGTCAACATAGACATGCCAAAAGACCCAGAGACTTACTTGCACCGGGTGGGCAGAACTGGTCGATACGGTAAGTTTGCATTAACGAGCGAGATTACGTCATGATCGCTGTATTGCAGCAACTAACAAGTTTATCGTTATTGTAGGTACCTATGGACTGGCCATCAGTTTTGTAGACAGCGACGAAATGGAGTTTCTCGAACGTCTGCAGACTCATTATGATGTC